AAGTCGTAGAATTGATTTTTTCGTTCTTAAGTGATTCTCAGTGTGAGAGAAGGAGAGTTTACAGTGATAATTACTGACCAGTACAATTAGAGAAAGAAAGCTCGCAATGATAATTACTGACCAGTACACTGAGAGGAGGAGAGCTTACAGAGATAATTACTGACCAGTACAATGAGAGAAAGTGAGCTCGCAATGATAATTACTGACCAGTACGCTGAGAAAAGGAGAGTTTACAGTTATAATTACTGACCAGTACAATGAGAGAAAGAGAGCTCGCAATGATACTTACTGACCAGTACACTGAGAGTAGGAGAGCTTACAGTGATAATTACTGACCAGTAAGTATACACTGAGAGAAGGAGAGTTTACAGTGATAAGGCCATGCAAATATGATTTAGATTGTACATCATTAAGTTAGCCATGCATAGATTATTTAGCTGGTACATCATTAAGTTGGGTCATGAATTTATGATTTAGATTGTGTTTTGTAAAATTCAATGCTAATTGAAGTTTACTGGTATAATAAGGTAGATTAAGTCGTAGAATTGATTTTTTCGTTCTTAAGTGATTCTCAGGGTGAGAGAAGGAGAGTTTACAGTGATAAGGCCATGCAAATATGATTTAGATTGTACATCATTAAGTTAGCCATGCATAGATTATTTAGCTGGTACATCATTAAGTTGGGTCATGAATTTATGATTTAGATTGTGTTTTGTAAAATTCAATGCTAATTGAAGTTTACTGGTATAATAAGGTAGATTAAGGCGTAGAATTGATTTTTTCGTTCTTACGTGATTCTCAGTGTGAGAGAAGGAGCGTTTACAGTGATAATTACTGACAAGTACAATTAGAGAAAGAAAGCTCGCAATGATAATTACTGACCAGCACACTGAGAGGAGGAGAGCTTACAGAGATAATTACTGACCAGTACGTATACACTGAGAGAACGAGAGTTTACAGGGATAATTACTGACCAGTTCGCTGAGATAAGAGCTTACAGAGATGATTACTGATCAGTACACTGAGAGAAGGACAGCTTACAGAGATGATTACTGAACAGTACACTGAGAGAAGGACAGCTTACAGGGATGATTACTGACCAGTACAATGAGAGAAAGAGAGCCCGCAATGATACTTACTGACCAGTACCCTGAGAGGAGGAGAGCTTACAGTGATAATTACTGACCAGGACGTATACACTGAGAGAAGGAGAGTTTACAGTGATAAGGCCATGCAAATATGATTTAGATTGTACATCATTAAGTTAGCCATGCATAGATTATTTAGCTGGTACATCATTAAGTTGGGTCATGAATTTATGATTTAGATTGTGTTTTGTAAAATTCAATGCTAATTGAAGTTTACTGGTATAATAAGGTAGATTAAGGCGTAGAATTGATTTTTTCGTTCTTACGTGATTCTCAGTGTGAGAGAAGGAGCGTTTACAGTGATAATTACTGACCAGTAAGTATACACTGAGAGAAGGAGAGTTTACAGAGATAATTACTGACCAGTACAATTAGAGAAAGAAAGCTCGCAATGATAATTACTCACCAGTACACTGAGAGGAGGAGAGCTTACAGTGATAATTACTGCCCAGTACAATGAGAGAAAGAGGGCTCGCAATGATAATTACTGACCAGCACACTGAGAGGAGGAGAGCTTACAGTGATAATTACTGCCCAGTACAATGAGAGAAAGAGGGCTCGCAATGATAATTACTGACCAGTACAATGAGAGAAAGTGAGCTCGCAATGATAATTACTGACCAGCACACTGAGAGGAGGAGAGCTTACAGTGATAATTACTGACCAGGACGTATACACTGAGAGAAGGAGAGTTTACAGAGATAATTACTGACCAGTACAATTAGAGAAAGAAAGCTCGCAATGATAATTACTCACCAGTACACTGAGAGGAGGAGAGCTTACAGTGATAATTACTGCCCAGTACAATGAGAGAAAGAGGGCTCGCAATGATAATTACTGACCAGCACACTGAGAGGAGGAGAGCTTACAGAGATAATTACTGACCAGTACGTATACACTGAGAGAACGAGAGTTTACAGGGATAATTACTGACCATTTCACTGAGATAAGAGCTTACAGAGATGATTACTGAACAGTACACTGAGAGAAGGACAGCTTACAGAGATGATTACTGAACAGTACACTGAGAAAAGGAGAATTTACAGTGATAGTTACTGACCAGTACAATGAGAGAAAGTGAGCTCGCAATGATAATTACTGACCAGCACACTGAGAGGAGGAGAGCTTACAGTGATAATTACTGACCAGTACAATGAGAGAAAGAGGGCTCGCAATGATAATTACTGACCAGTACGCTGAGAAAAGGAGAGTTTACAGTTATAATTACTGACCAGTACAATTAGAGAAAGAAAGCTCGCAATGATACTTACTGACCAGTACACTGAGAGTAGGAGAGCTTACAGTGATAATTACTGCCCAGTACAATGAGAGAAAGAGGGCTCGCAATGATAATTACTGACCAGCACACTGAGAGGAGGAGAGCTTACAGTGATAATTACTGACCAGTACACTGAGAGGAAGATAGCTTACAGTGATAATTACTGACCAGTACGTATACACTGAGAGAAGGAGAGTTTACAGGGATAATTACTGACCAGTTCACTGAGATAAGAGCTTACAGAGATGATTACTGACCAGTACACTGAGAGAAGGACAGCTTACAGAGATGATTACTGACCAGTACACTGAGAGAAGGACAGCTTACAGAGATGATTACTGACCAGTACACTGAGAGAAGGACAGCTTACAGAGATGATTACTGACCAGTACACTGAGAGAAGGACAGCTTACAGAGATGATTACTGACCAGTACACTGAGAGAAGGACAGCTTACAGAGATGATTACTGACCAGTACACTGAGAGAAGGACAGCTTACAGAGATGATTACTGACCAGTACACTGAGAGAAGGACAGCTTACAGAGATGATTACTGACCAGTACACTGAGAGAAGGACAGCTTACAGAGATGATTACTGACCAGTACACTGAGAGAAGGACAGCTTACAGAGATGATTACTGACCAGTACACTGAGAGAAGGACAGCTTACAGGGATGATTACTGACAATTATGTTTAGGAATGGATGGCTCTTTCTGATACTTACTGACACAGGTGGTATCGCTTATAGCTGGACTCCAGTTGTTTGCCCCCGTGCAATTATATTGCTTTTCTTTTAGTCCAGTATCAGAATGGAAGTACTGAACTCCCTGAACTGATTTGCAATCAATTGTACACTGAACAGTTCCTATACATGATTTGCCGGAGAAGGCAATAGCAGGAACACTTGCAGTGAAGCATGTGGATGCTGCAAAGACAAAACAGAATTCTCAATAGAATAGTTTTTTACATATATGAACAATAGTACAACAATATACCATCCAAGGCTAAACTCAGATACTTCAAAATTTATCTGTACATGAAATACTTCCATTTGCCCACATTTTAAACCATCAAATAGAAATAAGTAATGCCCCAGCCCCCAGGTCCATTACTGATTCATCTCCAATCATTTAACCAAAGAGATTTCTGAAAGATTATTAATTACTTGCAAATTTCACATGTACAGTATGAATTAAAATCCAGTATTCTGCTCCTGACCAATTAGAAAGCATGATGCAAATTAATTGTGTGCAGATTTACCTCAACTTCAAACTTACCTTTTTTCTTTGCCTTATATAAATATTGACAAAATTTGAGCCCACAGCTAGCCAAGCTAAACATCAGAATCCAGTCATATTTAAATAAATTATTCTGTGGAAATTGTCGACCAATTTGAGCACAGTGTGCTTTTTAATTATGCATAGATTTTGCTCAACTTGGAATATAGCCTTTGTCTTGTGGTAATAAAAATATTGACCATTTTTCATTAGAATCTGGTTATATATATCACTCCATTTTAGTGTGGAAGCCATTGACCTGAATCAGAATTAAATCCATCCATTCATACTGAAGGACAAGGATTTATAGATTTACATGTATTTCCCTCATTGGACCCCTTTACCTCTGCCTCATCCTCTGTTTATTCAAAATTCAGTTGCCTTTAACCAAAGATGCTCTAGAAAATTTGGTCAAAATCCTTCCACTGATTAAGTCTCAAGGAATTAAGTTGCTAATTAATTGCTATGAGGCAATTATTTTTTATTTATAGTAAATAGTCATCTATACAATAGTACACCCTTCTAAAAAATCTTGTATTTAAATATAATATACAAGAGAACTACAAGTCAGAGCAATAAAGACCCATTCAAACTGTAGACGAACACTTCACTAATTGAGCTGGTCGCCGGCAATCAAGCCAGACCAGTTCCACTACATCCTCCATACCTGTCAACTCGCCGGGTTGTCCGGGTCACACCCGGAAACAAGACCCTCCACCCGGGAAAAATTATGACCCAAACGGGTCATCATTTCACCCGTTTTTTAATCTATGACCTGAAAAGACCCTGATTCTCAAACATCAACAAGAGGCCCGTATCGCTCACCTGAATATGTTTAAAATAATTAGTATGAAGTAGGTGCTGTAAGTACATATGAAATTTCAGAAAGATCCATCCAGTACTTGAGATATAGCGAGAACAAACTTCAAACAGAGCCCCACCCCTATATGCAACTTAGGGGGGTCATACCCACCATTTATACAAAATTGAGTCCCCTTGACCCAAGGATGCTCCAGACTAAATAAGGATAAAATCCCATAATCCCGATGGTCGAAGAAGGATTTTAAAGGTTTTACCTCTATTTCTCCTATTGGGCCCCGCCCTTCTGCCCCTTGGAAGACCACACCCACTGCATGCTTATACAAAATTGAGTCCCCTAGACCCATTGATGCTCTAGACTAAATTAGGATAAAATCCCTTAATCTCTATGGTAAAAGAAGGATTTTAAAGGTTTTACCTATATTTCCCCTATTGGGCCCCGCCTCTCTGCCACCAGAGGGGTCAGACACACCGTTCATACAAAATTGAGTCCCTTTTGCCTAAGGATGCTCCAGACTAAATATGGAACAAATCCTTTCATTCCAACAGACCTACGGTTTATACAAAATTGGTTCCCCTTCACCCAAGGACCTTCAGACCAAATATGGAACAAATCCTTTCATTCCAACAGACCTACGGTTTATACAAAATTGGTTCCCCTTCTCCCAAGTATGCTTCAGACCAAATATGGAACAAATCCTTTCATTCCTACACAAGAAGAAGGATTTTAAAGAATTTGCTATGTTTCCACTATCAGGCCCCACCCCTCAGGCCCCTGGGGTACCACACCCACGATTTATACAAAATTGGTTCCCCTTCCCCTAAGGATGCTTCAGACCAAATATGGAACAAATCCTTTCATTCCTACAGAAGAAGAAAGATTTTAAAGAATTTGTTATATTTCCCCTGTTTGGCCATGCCCCTCAGCCCCCAGGGGGGGCAGACCTACGGTTTATACAAAATTGGTTCCCCTTCACCCAAGGATCTTCAGACCAAATATGGAACAAATCCTTTCATTCCTACAGAAGAAGAAGGATTTTAAAGAATTTTCTATATTTCCCCTATTTGGCCCCGCCCCTCAGCCCCCAGGGGAGCCAGACCCATGGTTTATACAAAATTGGTTCCCCTTCAACCAAGAATGCTTTAGACCAAATATGGACCAAATCCTTTCATTCCTACAGAAGAAGAAGGATTTTAAAGAATTTGCTATGTTTCCCCTATTTGGCCTTGCTTCTCAGCTCCCAGGGGAGCCAGACCCACGGTTTATACAAAATTGGTTCCCCTTCACCCAATAATGCTTCAGACCAACTATGGAACAAATCCTTTCATTCCTACAGAAGAAGAAGGATTTTAAAGAATTTGCTACATCTTCCCACTTGGGCCCCGCCCCTCAGCCCTCAGGGGGGCCAGACCCACGGTTTATACAAAATTGGTTCCCCTTCCCCTAAGGATGCTTCAGACCAAATATGGAACAAATCCTTTCATTCCTACAGAAGAAGATGGATTTAAAAGAATTTGCTATATTTTCCCCATTGGGCCCCGCCCCTCAGCCCCCAGGGGGGCCAGATCCATCATTTATACAAAATTGAGTCCCCTTGGCCTAAGGATGCTCCAGACCAAATTTAATCCAAATCTACTGGGCCGTTCAGGCCAAGTAGCGTTTTAAAGGAAAAGTTGACGGACGGACGGACGGACGGACGGACGAAGGACGCTATGCCATGGCATAAGCTCACTTGCCCTTCTGGCAGGTGAGCAATAAATGACAGTAAAAACTCTAGCCTCGTTTTCAGTTATTCATGTGCGATCCTCGGACTTCATCCTTGTATTGAAATGAGACATCCGAATGTATAGTTTGTTGACACTTTTGCGTTTGTAGGCTGTCAAATTAGCTTTGAAAGGTGTGAACAAGTGATTATAAGTGTCGATGTCTGAGTAGAGCTGATAAACAATGGCCTTGACGCGTGACTAAGACGGATTATTGATTGGACTTGTAACAATGCAAGTACGTAGGTACTATACTTAACTTTAGTTCTATTTTATATTATGAAAACGTGTTGTAGTGCGATAACTGCAGTTAATGATAGACACATTTTTGACTCTTGTTAACAATAAACACAGTTCAACAGATTACTTTGTTGAGTTTTTATTTGATACCCCTTTCCACAAATCAGTTGTACATCATGTCAAGTGGAAGAAGGAGGGCCTTTTCTGGCCCTGCAGCTTCATGTGAAAGTCCAAACACAAAGAGGAAGAGGTATTTATGTACATATCAACGTGCATGGGAAAATGTGATTCTCAGCTATTACCACTGGAACAACTTACAGATAAGTTTGAAAACCCAGAAACAGACTTTGATGAATTTTGGTGTAACATGGGGAAGCAAAAAGATATATTTCAAGATGACCGAAGATTTGGACATTTGAGTAAACTTGCAAAAACATTACTTGTCCTCCCCAACTCTAATGCTGACAGTGATAGGGCTTTCTCCATGATAAGAAAAATATTTCAAGCATATGTGCCCTGCTTTCATGTAAACTAAACCAGGACACTGCCTGTTATGAATATGAGCCTTCAGACAAGCTTTTGAAGGCAGCAAAATCAGCAACCATGGTTTATAATAAAAGTCACATTTAAAGTTGTAAAATTGTTGTTTAATTCCTATTGGTTTCCATATACATAATGGGTATAGTATATCAAAAGAGGGCGAAAATGACGCTACGTGTTATAAATCCTGATTTGAAAACCCCAAAGAGGGTCATCACCCTGATTTGTATGCTGAGAGGTTGACAGGTATGATCCTCCCTCCTTTTTCTTAGTCTTTGCCCCTGAAGACAACACTATTTAAAACCCAGATGTGAGTATCCCCTTGTCAGGCATTTACCTAGTACTTGAAACATATTTTTTGGTCACAGGCACCACTGTAACAGGAGAGGAAAAATGCAAGGCCATGCAGGCAGAGATTCGGACCTTGTACCCTCTGAACTCTAGACAGACACTCTGCCAATTGAACTAGCTACAGTTCGCCGGCGATCAACCCAGTCTAGCTCTGCTATATTAGTATGAAACACATACATATGAAGCAGGTATACTAAGTTTGTATTAATCACTCATTTATTATCTTAGTAAAATGATCATATTTTCATATTCCTTGCCAACGACAACACAGATGAATTTTATCTTTAACATACCTTCAGTAGCAATGAGGAAAGAGCAGGAAGAAGTTAACGTCTCATAGGACGCTGTCACTCTCACTTTCTGCAGGACGTTAAGTGAGTTGAAATTAATACTCAGAGAAGGTGGATCTGCTGTAAGACTTGTCCACGGTTGAGATGAAACCAAATCCAGCGGGTTGATGGCGTATCCATTGGTAGTATTAATGTAGTAGATGGTATTATTTGGACAAGAAAGAGATGGAACATCCTCTGAAAAATAGTAAAACCATATCTTCTCTTAAAATTCCATGACATATATAAACCGCATTCATCATACTGTGAACAGGACAACTACAGTATATATGTATTCAGCAAAATAAGTTCAGGGTCACATTACCATATTTCATCAAAAAAAATGATTGGAGCTGTCTGAAAATTGTTTCGTTATTTCGTTAATATCAATATATCTTTGAATTGTTTCAAAAGAAATTCTTCAGCATATTCAATATGCAATGAAATAACCATAGCAACATGTCCTACCCGAATTTCAAAGTGAAAACACATGTGCTTCAAAGACTCAATTTCATTAAAAAAACACTTATTTCATATCATGTTAAGTCATCTACCAAAGCTGCAGATAATTCTACAAATGATCAATTGTGGAACATTATCCCATTCCTTGAGAAGTGCAATTTTAAGTTCTCGAATGGTTAAAGGAAGGATATTTCTCCTCTGAACTTGTCTTTGAAGAATGTCCTAGATGTGTTCTATGGGATTCAAGTCAAGAGATGCAGAAGGCCAATCCATTTGGTCAATTGTTTCAGTTTGCACAATAAAGTCACGCATTATCATCCATTCCCCCCACCCCCCACCACACACATACACACACGCGCGCAAACATAATACCAACTATATTTGGTCTTAATCCTTTGAGCAGTTCTTAAGATGATGTCTTTTAAACATAAAGTGACAGACATTTACCGGGTACTACAAGTGCAGTGTCATGGCGTTATAGCTAACAAGAAGTTGAAATAACTGCATCTCCCATAACATTGGTATTTTAAACAAGTGGTAATGGTCAGGTTCAAGGCTGACTAACCTATGACAACAACGTCGATTTCACAGGTTCCTGTATTGCCAGTATAGTCTTCAGCTGTATATGTGATAGTAGTATTTTCATTGATGATGCTTCCAGACTCCATATTTTCTGGCTGCACTTTAATACTCTTCAAACGATTCGTGTTGTCCTGTGCAGTTGGAGCATTATAAACAACTGGATTTGATCTATGTACATAGATTGTCTCTGTTGGACATGAGGAAAATGTAGGATTTTGTGTATCTGAAAGATAAAAAGTTTAATGTTAGGTACTGATATCTCAAAACAGTTAAAAAGGTTATGAGTTGTGAGTACTGAATTTGAGAAGTGTAGTGTAGAATGTATGTAGTGTAGTTCATATTAGTGTGTAATTTTCAGTTACGTGTAGTGTTGTGTGTAGTGTACAGGTGTATGTTAAGTGTTGTGCATAGTGTAGTGTTGTGCATAGTGTAGTGTTGTGTGTAGTGTAGAGGTGTATGTTAAATGCTGTGTGTAGTGTTGTGTGTAGTGTTGTGTGTAGTATTGTGTGTAGTGTAGAGGTGTATGTTAAGTGTTGTGCATAGTGTAGTGTTGTGTGTAGTGTAGAGGTGTATGTTAAGTGTTGTGTATAGTGTTGTGTGTACTGTCGTGTAGTGAAGAGGTGTATGTTAAGTGTTGTGTATAGTGTAGTGTTGTGTGTAGTGTAGAGGTATATGTTAAGTGTTATGCATAGTGATGTGTTGTGTGTGTTAAGTTGTGTGTGTGTAGTGTTGTGTAGTGTGTGTTAAGTGTTGTGTTATGTGGTTGTGTTATGTGTAGTGTTGTGTTATGTGTAGTGTTGTGTAGTGTTGTGTGTGTTAAGTGTTGTGTTGTGTGTTTGTTAAGTGTTATGTGTAGTGTAGTGTTTTGTTCATGTTGTGTGTTGTGTAGTGTTGTGTTTGTTAAGTGTTGTGTGAAGTTTAGTGTTGTTGTGGGTAGTGTTGTGTGTGGTGTGAGGTGTTTTATTATGAGAGTTTTTATGTTGTGCAAATTGTTTTATGGGAGTTATGGTAAACCTTCCAGTCAGATCAAACAAAAATAAATACTGTATTCGTCCTAATAAGTGCACCTGTCCCTATAAGTACTACCCCATCTTTTTTCTGGGAAAGAGGATTGGTGCACTTAATCAAAACCCGTAAAATGATTGCTTATTTCACTGATCTACCGATATGATCTTCAGACTTTTGACACACGTCTATGTGCCCTTTAGCATTTACATAACTAAGCGATATAAGCTAGTGGTCTCAATAATCAGTTAACATTTTCAGTCTGCACTAAACTGTGAGGCAGTAAGAATTTTCGAAGTATTGACAGATGTTCAATTGTAATGTTTGTGTTGTTTGAGTTGATATGCATTACATGTGTGTGTAGACTAAGGTAAAAAGTAATATGTAGTCTTGTGTTTTATAGTGTGTTATTTCAAGTTTGTACATATCAATGTGTGTTTTATATGTTAAGTGCCATGTTTAGTGTTAGGAAATTGTTTTGTGTAGAATTATGTGTAAAGTGTGCAGTATTGTAAGTAGATAAAGAAGTACCTTTACAAGTTGTGTTGTGTGGAATTATGTGTAAAGTGTGAAGTATTGTAAGTAGATAAAGAAGAACCTTTACAAGTTGTTTCGTGTAGAATTATATGTAAAGTGTGCAGTATTGTAAGTAGATACAGAAGTACCTTTACAAGTTGTTTTGAGTGGAATTATGTGAAAAGTGTGAAGTATTGTAAGTAGATAAAGAAGGACCTTTACAAGTTGTGTTGTGAAGAATTATGTGTAAAGTGTGCAGTATTATCAGTAGATAAAGAAGTGCCTTTACAAGTTGTGTTGTGTAGAATTACGTGTAAAGTGTGCAGTATTGTCAGTAGATGAAGAAGTGCCTTTGCAAGTTGTGTTGTGTAGAATTATATGTACAGTGTGCAGTACTGTCAGTAGATAAAGAAGAACCTTTACAAGTTGTTTCGTGCAGAATTATATGTAAAGTGTGCAGTATTGAAAGTAGATAAAGAAGTACCTTTACAAGTTGTGTGGTGGAGAATTATATGTAAAGTGTGCAGTATTGTAAATAGATAAAGAAGTACCTTTACTAGTTGTGTTGTGTAGAATTATATGTAAATTGTGCAGTATTGTAAGTAGATACAGAAGTACCTTTACAAGTTGTGTTGTGTAGAATTATGTGTAAAGTGTGCAGTATTGTCAGTAGATAAAGAAGTGCCTTTGCAAGTTGTGTTGTGTAGAATTAAGTGTAAAGTGTGCAGTATTCTAAGTAGATAAAGAAATGCCTTTACAAGTTGTGTTGTGTAGAATTATGTGTAAAGTGTGCAGTATTGTAAGTAGATAAAGAAGTACCTTTACAAGTTGTGTTGTGTAGAATTATATGTAAAGTGTGCAGTATTGTAAGTAGATAAAGAAGTACCTTTACAAGTTGGTCGTACTGTGGAGTTCCAGTTGACAATAGATCCTACTATCTGACAAAGGAGGACTGTTGGTGGGTCTGGAGTATAGCCATTTCTTTCACAAGTCCATGTTACTGTCTGTCCAACTTCATAACTAGTGGCAACCTGCACAGCATCGTATGCTGTTCCTGGGTCAGTACATAAAGCTCCTACGGAACAGAAATAATAATAAACAGATTAGTGTCAGCACATTCATTCAATAAAAAAACACAGACCACCATAAAGTTTTTTTATATTCACTATAAAGGTATTTCAACAGAATCTGGGCTAGACCATAAGGGTTGCCAACTAGGCTAAGACTAGTAAAATCTACAGCTGGACTAGCAGTTCTAAAAACTTCCAGCTCAAATGAATAGTAAAAATTTTGTATTACTTATCATGCTCAATTATTTTAGATTAGTAGAATTTGCAAATAGATTAGAATTCAGAAAACCTATCTAGCCTGTGTGACCAGTTACTTTTAAAATGAATGGTTAGCCTTGTAGAATACCATTTTATTTGACCTCAAGACTTATTACCACATGAAAATGTATACTACATATACCAGTGATGTTAGTGCCATTTTTTTGTGGTGGAGGAAAGCCGGGGTACCTGGAGATAAACCACCAACCTGCGGCGGGTACCCCATGTACGCCCCAAAGCCATGACCTCGTGGTGGAGGGCTCGTGGTGGAGGGCTAGTGATCATAGACAGTCAGACGATGTCATACATGACTTGAAGCTATATTAAACTTACCTGTGCATGTTAAGCTACCAAATCCCCACCTGCCGTTCTCTTGACATGTCACAGTGATGCTGTTGTCGGTGGAATTCCCACTTCTCGTGAAGCCATTATCACAACCAAAGACAAATGTGTCTTTCCAAGAATTCCCAGTTTTTGAGGTGTAAACACCTGCAGGTACAACTTTTGGTTCACCACAATTAATCTCTGTCATAGGAAAACAAGTCAAGGTTTAATCAGTCTATATCGGTATAAAATGTGACCAAGAATAAGGTCTATGAAAGTATTAAATATATGTTAAAGAGTCAAGTAGAAGCACCAACAAAATCTGTCTAAGAATCAAGTTTATACACTAAGGAAATGTGTCCATGAATCAAGTCTATGAAAATATAAACACATGTCCAAGAATCTTTACCCATTTGAGCATAAAATGTCACGCTGGTACAAAATACTAGCTGCTTCCTACCGACTCCAATAGGGAGAACTTCTCTTTAGCTTGTTCGGTAGAGCATAAGACTAGTAAACGAGAGGTTTAATGTTGGACTCCAAGCAGAGGCATTGAACAAATAATGTCAATGAACTCTGTTATATTTAATGGCGCCTGCTTAGGGATCGGACATACAAAAATACTCAGTGACACTTTCGAAAGAATTGCTTTGACTCCTGGAAAACTTTGGACAAGTTCTTTCCTGAAGGGAGAGTATGTGACTGTGGTACAAAATACTAGCCGCTCCTAACAGACTCATCTATCCTGAAGGGAGGGTATGTCACTGGTACAAAATACTAGCCGCTCCTAACAGACTCATCTATCCTGAAGGGAGAGTGTGTCACTGTGGTACAAAATACTAGCCACTCCTAACAGACTCATCTATCCTGAAGGGAGAGTATGTCACTGTGGTACAAAATACTAGCCGCTCTTAACAGACTCGTCTATCCTGAAGGGAGAGTATGTCACTGTGGTACAAAATACTAGCCGCTCATAACAGACTCAGCTAGTGAGAATTTCCCTTTATTTTATTCAGAAGGAAGTGGAAAGCATTTTATTCCAGGGTGACAAAAATATAAAAAGTTTTCAAGGATCAGTCTACATAAAAGATAGTATCATAGTATAAAATATGTCTAAGCATAAGTCTATAAAAGTATAAAGTATATGTTCAAGAGTCAAGTCCATGCATTGGAGCATAAAATGTTTTCAAGGATCAGTCAAAATGAGTATCAAATCTGTTGAAGAATTAAATTCATAAAAGCAAACTATATGTTCAAGAGTCAAGTCCATATATGTGAACTATGAAATGTTTTCAAGGATCACTGTACATTATGTATACAAGAGATCACAAATGGATCTTGGGCAGCCCACCATTGTAGGAACTTCATAAGTTCTATGTAAGTTTGATCTTTTACCTTTGTTTTTTCTTCTTTTCACTGATCTGTTGGATTTATGATCTTGTCAATACAGTAAATGCATCTTGCAAAAACGTTTTATTAAAATTTCCATACCATTGAGTTGGATGTCATTTCAAAGCAAGGTCATTGTTCATTGTTTTTTACTGAAGAAATAGTGATAACAAATTGAATTCTAAAAATCCAAGAAGGCTGCCTAGTGGCCATCTCGTTTTTCCAATCAGTCCAAAAATGATGCATGCGCTACTAAAGACCAAGAGGAACCTATCTATGAAATTTAAGAATAATCTATGAAGTAAAATCCAAGATGGCTGTTGACTTTAGACTTTAAAACTTGATATCAATCTTAGAGTTATAAAAAAAACAAGGTTACCGTGTAGCGTTATACATAAAACACCCATCACATGTTGAATGTATTGTTGAAATATATGAAATATTTGTGAGTAATTAATTTTAACGGAGAAATAATTAAACATACCTGGTAGATCAATGAGTGCAATAAAACATCATGGAATGCATGTAGTACTGCATTAATGAAACCAAGCGGAACAAGTCTACTTATTATGGTCAGATAATTGTGATTACACTCACTCCACTGAATCAGGGGGCATAACTACGTAAGTTACGGTGGGGTAATTTTGGAAGTTACTGAAAACATAAGGTGGTTACACTCACCAGGACAACTGTAGTCATCCCCCTGCCAATCATACTGGCCATTTCCCATATAGCCGCAGTACATTTTTCTCTCTAAAACTTGATTGCCATATTGACACTGAAACACAACTGCATCTGTCAAGTATGCCATGCCACCTGGTGCAATACTGCTGTTAAACATTCGGGTTGTGTGTGCAGCCACTGTACAGAACTCTCCTGTAAATCAAATATGTATAGATAATAATTCAACATCTCATTTAATCACCAACACTAGCATCATCATAAATGAAACAGGTAATATAGTCTACTTTTTCCTCAGTACCTGCCAAATTGCCTGCATTTGCACAGGCCAACCTTCAAACGACCTCCATGACATGTGCATATTCTAGTATAATTTTAGAATCTTCTGTATTTGAACTGCTATAGGATATCACTGAAGATGTTTAAAACCCACCTTCTATCTTTCAATTCTAAAATGCTCCTTAAAAAACATTTTAGTATCGTATATTAAAAGATAAATTATAATAGTATAAATGCTATTACTTCTAATTTTAAAGACATGAAAAGTTTACATACAGAAGTAAATTTCAGATGGCAGACATACCACCTGCCTGCACCAAAAAGTGTAGAAGTTCTTTCAAAAACATTTTAAATCAACAAGGCAAATTATTGGAAGGTGCGCAATCCATAGTTCCCCCACTGAAAATGGTTCTTTTTTGTAATCTGCATTCCACCAACCAAGATATATCCTCGCACATATGTAATCAGACTAGAAGGATTCGGTTGTAAATGATATTCACCTGTGATAGAATGACTCAAAAATGTATAGGTCAAAGTTAAGCTCATGAAGCTGGGTGAGGAAAAGGCTTATAATAGTGAAGTTATAGAGTAAAAACTATCAACCAATGAGATTGAAGGATTTGATTTTGAATGACCTCAACCTGTAACATGAAGAAGTAAAAATGGGTCTAGCTTTATTGAGTTAATTCAAAATGAAAGTATACATCTGTTTACTAAGCACTAATACCACATAAAGTTGTGGTGAAGCCAAGATTAGAAAAAAGTATGAACTGGCATATATAAGGTATATATAGCCAGATTTGAGGAGTTGACCTTAAATGACTTTGACCTCTGGTGGAATAACCAGTAAATATAATGATGTCTTCATTTAATACAGAACTAAAACCTTATGAAGTTTGGTAAGATTATTATGTAGAAAGGGAATTTTCAATTGGAGGGTGAGATTTCTTGGTCTTCATCACAATTAAAAGTTTGATTATTCATCTCCCACACTTTTCTACCATAAAAAATATGTTGTATTGGAGAACTCAATACACTGCGCCATCATCAAGGGCACAACATGTGTTACCAAACTAATGACGCTACCCTGGTTACCAGGGGCAATATGTGTTACCAAACTAATGACGCTACCCTGGTTACCAGGGGCAATATGTGTTACAAACTAATGACGCTACCCTGGTTACCCGGTTACATTGCATAAAATGAAGATGTAATGAATTTGAATACAGTGCATAATCTGTACAAATGCTGTGTAATTAGACAGTACACTGTATGTATTAGCACAAGTGTTGTGAATGAGGTAGGAATGATATGCAGGAGTATTAAAGTGGTAAACAGTAAATGATATTACTTACTTGTACAGGTCGGGGGCGAGGCAGACCACTGCCCGCTTGCCTCACATGTAACATTTTTATTTCCGACTAATTTGTAGCCAATATTGCAGACAAAAGATACTTCGTCCTCATAATAAAAAGTGTAGGCGTTTTCAGTCAGGCGCTGTCCATTACTGGGGTGGTACAGGGCGTCACAGGTTTTACCTACAAAACACCAAACTCTTAAAGCAATGTGTAAGTGAGCAAACAGAAACATCAATACCTGGCATATGTGTGTGGGACAAACAACATCATTCCGAAGAAATAAAAGACACATATTTCTGCAATCGTCTTAGCTGTAGTGTTTGTGATCACTGTAATCAACAAGTCCAAAGTGAACAAACACTGTGAAATTTAAAGGGCCTGTAAATATCCATCATCATATGCCAGGTCGTACTTCAGACTTACATGGTAAGTTGTCAACTTTATAGTGTGTACAAATTTGACTTTTGTTCTTCAGTGAGTTTCAGACTTAAAATTTCTGAAAAATAGCTTTCTCTGTTCATTCAGCTGTTCTGAAATGTTGATGACAAATTGAAACAAATTCACCAACTTAAGTAATATGAATTATCCCTTTGATCTGTCCTGAGCCCCCAAAGAAGGTCAGACCCTTTACTCATTTTTATGAAACCTGTGGGATAAGGATGCTACTGCATGTACCACAATTTGATATAAACCTACAAATTTGTTTGGAAAGTGATGATATTTAATTAAAGCAAATGAACCAGTTGTACACCTTTGGACCCCATCCTTTAGCCCTAACTAGGTTCAGCCTCTTTACTTTTTGTGTAATGATGCTGCTAGCATAAAATAATCATCGGTCATTTATGTAAAAAAAAACAAAAAAAACAGGACAATTTTTTAAGATTTTTTATAGACAACTAAATCTTAGCAGTTGCTAAAAAGAAGAAGAAAAAAAATAATTAAAAAATGCATTGGATAAACTTGTGTCTAAAAAAAACATTTCAATAGTGGAACCCGCTTATTATGATATTCTATTTGCTGGAGAGAAATTCATATTGAAATACCAGGTAACCTGAATATTAATTATGATAAACGATCCAGCTGTTTTCGATCATTTTTAGATTGTCTGAACCAGAAGTGAGATGCCCTTTGATTGTCAGACTTTGATAGATGTGGAAACCTGGGAAAATATTAATACAAATTGCTATTGTAATAATTGAAATAAATCATTAATTGTTATTGATATCAGTGTGTTGGAATAATCAAAGAAAATGGCATTTTGTCATCATAATGATCTGGTTGATTTCCTGTACCATGCTGTAAGGACAGAATGCCCAGATTTCGACACCAAGACACGGGGAAATCAACATGCAATGTGATTGGGAAACTTTCTTTTAAATGATTAAAAACACACCGCTTCCCATGTTTGACCATATCATAATTAACATATTTTTTTACTTAGTTTTTATGTAGAGAAAATATCTGTACATGGAACAAATAATATAATAAGCGATTTATCATACTATCTAATATTATAATAAGGGGGTTATCATAATATCCGATATTATAAGCAGGTTATCAAAATATATAATATAATAATAAGCAGGTTATCATAATATCTGATATTATAATAAGTGGATTATCATAATATCTGATATTATAATAAGTGGATTATCATAATATCTGATATTATAATAAGCGGATTATCATAATATCTAATATCATAATAAGCAGGTTATCATAATATCTGATATTATAATAAGCGGATCATCATGATATCTGATATTATAATAAGTGGGTTATCATAAAATCTAATATCATAATAAGCAGGTTATCATAATATCTAATATCATAATAAGCCGGTTATAATAATATCTGATATCATAATAAGATGGTTATCATAATATCCGATATTATAATCAGGTTATCATAATATCCGATATTATAATCAGGTTATCATAATATCTAATATCATAATAAGTGGGTTATCATAAAATCTTATATTATGATAAGCTGGTTATCATAATATCTGATATCATAATAAACGGGTTCCAATGTATAGCATTTTTTTAGAAGATTTTTGAAGTAAACCATAATTTCTGCATTTTTGGCCATACTCCAGAATCTCTTGTCCGCCGAGTATCTAGGTCCCCAAATAAACACCCTTAAATCAGACACATGTAGAATACATACGGACACAGGTATGGTTAAAGACTTAAAGTAGAATACATGTACATACGGACACAGACATGGCTAATGTAGAATATATACGGACACAGGTATGGTTAAAGTAGAATACATACAGACACAGGTACGGTCAAAGTAGAATACATACAGGCACAGGAATGGTTAAAGTAGAATACATACAGGCACAGGTATGGTTAAAGTAGAATACATACAAACACAGGTATGGTTAAAGTAGAATACATACAGATACAGGTACGGTCAAAGTAGAATACATACAGGCACAGGTATGGTTAAAGTAGAATACATACAGGCACAGGTATGGTTAAAGTAGAATACATACAAACACAGGTATGGTTATAGTAGAATACATACAGTTACAGGTATGGTTAATATAGAATACATA